TGTGCATGTGAGAGGACATCAGAGGGGAGCATCAATGGAAATAAGGGGGAATAATTTAGCAGGTGAAGCAGCCTGAGAAGCAGCTACAGAATCATCAGTAGTAGTTTTATTGGTAGTAACACTGGGGGATTATGAGAATTTAGTCCCGAATTTCACAGAACAAGAGGAGAAGGATATACTTAAAAATTGGGAGTGAAAAAAGTCCAGAAGGAAAATGGACTTTACCAGATGGAAGGCAGATGTTAAATAAAACATTATCATGAGAAATTCTGTCATTAATACATCAGAAAACACATTGGGGAACGCAAGCACTTTGTGATCATTTTCTTAGACAGTATGGGTATATAGGAATATATACGGTGGTTAAACATCTAGTTGATCGATGTCCGATTTGTCAAAATGAACAAAAAGGAAATGAGAAGAAAGGTGGCTGGGGGACAGGAGCTAGCCATACAAAGCCTGCAGGTAGACTTCACAGAGCTACCTCAAATACAAGGGTGGAAGTATTTTTTGGTATTAGTGGATCACTTAACTCATTGGGTGGAAGGAATCCCTCACACCAAGGGCAATGGCAACCATGGCATCCCAGGTGTTACTGGAAAACATTCCCAGATATGGATTAATAGAAAGAATGGACTTGGACAGAGGAACACATTTCACTTCAAAAATTATACAACAACTATCTGAAGCCTTAGGGATTGAATGGGCGTGGCACACCCTATGGCATTCTCAGAATTCTGGAAGAGTAGAAAGAATGAATCAAACTTTAAACCAAACCTTGACTAAGTTAATGATTGAGACTCAGATGTCTTGGATTAAATGCCTGCCGTTGGCCTTATTAAGGATCCATACTCAGCCACGAGCGGACCTGGGAATTTCTCCCTATGAAATGATGTTTGGATTACTATGTATGAGTAATGACAGGGATATTGTCACCCCTGAAGTAGGAGATCAGTATGTAAGAAAGTATGTAATAAGAATAGCTAACACTTCAATGAAACTAAGAAAGAAAGGGCTTCTGCCTCAAACACCACCATTGGATTTTAATATCCACAGTGTAAAAACAGGTGATTGGGTATTGATAAAAGTGTGGAAAGATCGATCATTAACTCCCGAGTGGGAAGGTCCATTTCAGGTGCTGCTGACCACCGAGACAGCGATCTGAACAAAAGAAAAGGGGTGGACTCATGCCTCCCGAGGAAAAGGACCGGTGGAAAAGCCTCAGGAGTGGACTGTGGTACCATCAACTGATCAGCTACGAGTCACCCTCCAAAGGACTAAGTAAATTCATCGGGAGGGGATTGAATGACTCTTAACCAGTGGTTTGGACTAGGTTCAGAGGTAACACTGTGAAAATTTACTTACTTGCTGTATGGGGAACCACAAAAAGATGTCGGGGAAAAGCTGGCCTTGACCGCACGTTAGCTGGCAGACAAGCATCAGAGTGGCTTTTGGTAATAGATTATGAGCATTTTGGATTAGATCGGGCATTGTTAGGAAATCAACCTAATAGGGTAATACTTTGTCTGGAGTGTATACACAGGTTTCATGAAGTGTGGGTTTTGTGTGAGTGTGAAATGTGTAACCAGACACGGTATTGTATATGGAGAAAATTATGTTATAACTGTAATAGGGACTGTGAGTATAGGGAAGGGGCACGAATTGTAACCTTGATTTGTGGGAAAAAGAGGTTAGTCCCCAAAATTTGGATGTCCCTGAGAGTTGATGGAAGGACACTGTCAGAAAAGTGCCAAAAAAGGTTTGCTTTGCTTAGAAACAAAGGAAGTGGCTACAAAGGAGCTGCACTTGAATTGACAAACTGTTAACACACGGATTTGTTAAACAGTAGAGGGCAAGACCGGGTTAACCTCTGTGCTCGCCACCAAGAAGACCTTTATCTCAGCTGTGGGCTGCAACCCCATAGGCATGAGAGGTGGAGGTATATGTTACACCGGACCTCTGCTAATCATCCTGGTATGGTTCGCTCTGATAGCGGCAAATCCATGCAACAAGGGCTTTACTGTTCTGTCAAACATCAGAGTGTGGAAAAAGGTTGGATTTTTCTTCTTTTGTGCTATGGCAGGTTTGCTGGTTTTACCATGTTTAATACCCTGCTTTACACAGCTACTATCTCATGTTATTGAGGGGATGCAAGTAACAGCAATGCCGGTAAACCCTGAAATGGCTGCATCGGCTGGTGCCCACAAAGTTATGATATTAAGAAAAGAATGAGACTAAGTGTTAGTAAGCTCAAGCCAAATATGGTATTAAAAAGAAAAGGGGTAGTTTGTGATAAATAACAGCAGAATTTTGCTTTCGCTAAAAGTAATTAAACAGTTACTTTTATTGAGTTAGGCTCAAGCTGTTATTAAAAATTAGTGTTGTTAAAATTACAACAGTTAAGCAAGCCTTTTTTGATCACAAGTTAGGCATACGGTTGGGCTTTGTGTGGAGTTGAGCAAGCAAAAGGATGGGGGGAGTGGTCTGCGGTTAGGTGTCATGTAAAGAGGAATGGAAGCCAGCAGAAGAAGGGTTAAGCGAAGAACTCCTGGTGAAGAGGAACCTGGACTTGGCTCCCCCACCAACACTCCCCCCCCAAGAAGACCACCGAGACCAGCTGTAAATGCCAGAGAAGAGGAGGAAGGAGGGGGAAAGGAGAGCGAGTGGACTTGTTGCTTGGCTTGGCTGTGTTGCACTGTTCTTTGTTTGATTTCATGTTTAAACCAAAGGTTACATACAGCACTGTGGTTGCCTCCCCTGCTCAGCAGCTGTCTGTTTTGTGATAAGAAGTAGTGAAGCGGTGGGAAAGTGCAGGGAGAGACAGCCCTGAAGAAACCAAGAAGAAGTAACTGCGCAGGTACAAAAAGGAGGACTGGCACTATAAAAAGAGGCCCCTGCTGGGGCAGGGCACACCATCGCGCCCAGCGCTGTATTCTTGGCTCCACTGACTTTGTCCCCAACAAAACCTTTTTTTTATATACACGTGGGCTTGTTTCTCACAGCCTGCACACGGGGCTGTGTTGCGGTGATGCAGAATGTTTGTTTGCCAAATTCATTCTGGTATTCCAGCAACCTTTCCCGATGTCTGCTCTGCTTCTTAAGTGGTGGGGCACAACTGTCTGTGCAGTCACACCAGAAATAAGACTGTGTACTGCTCTAGCTCTGAAGATGGGTATCATAGATTGAGATTATTTAAACTGATGGGTCAGAGAGACGCTGCAGTCCAGAGCCATGCATTCAGGGTTTCCTAATTGTAGTTTTGTTTTACTAATGATGGTGAACAGGCAAAGAAGTTCCTGTTGTAGCAAAATAGGGAAGCATGTGAGTCAATGGCTTTGGTCACAGAAGATCCGTTTTGGGGCTGGAACAGACTTCTGTGGGTTCTGAACACTTCTTTTTAATGTACACCTTGAAAAGTTGTTTTGTCTTTTACTATTTAAACAAGCAATGTTGAATGTATTTTGAGCAAATTAGAATGAGGAGATTTTTCAGCCTGACTGCATACAAGATAGAAATATGTGAAAAAATTAGGAAGCATAACTGCTTTTAGGGCCTCCTTGGTCCTTACACAGAAATTGTTCTTAAATTGGGTTTATCAGTTTGAGGTGGAGGAAGTATTAAGTTGAAGCAAATAAGTTTAAAATGTAGAATAAGAAGTTTCTGAACAATTATGTGACAAATTTGCATTTTGCTGAGGGATGCATCCAACTTCGTGTTGAACTTTGGTTATAGGGCATTTAATAGTAAAGTCTTGTGATGTAGTTAGTATGGATCAGTTTCTTAGTACTTGTAATATTAGCTTAGAGAGGTTGTGGCAAAAGTTCTTAATCTATTTTTAACATGTTAAAGTGGTTTTAAGTAGCTTAGATTTGGGAAGAGCTCACAGTTTGTAGTGCCTTTGAACCTACTGCTGTCTTTGATGACAACTTGTCACAAGCAAGTGTTTGTCTTGTAGCGAGAGGAAGAAGGTGTAGCTAAATAGAGTAAAAATTAAAGTTTCAAAACAGTCCTCATGTCCTAAACTTGAAAATTATTGCTTGTTTTCCATGGGGGTTTTCCAAATTCATCTCAAAATACATTTCACAAAGATAAGTGATATACCTGTATTTTAGGTTCATTACCTGAAAAATTAAGAAAGGTTCAGGTTTTAAGCTATAATACTGAGAGTGTTATTTGTGTGGGCATTTCATGATTAATGCACAGAAATAAGAAAAACTTTTTAAGTGCAAAAGAGACAAAGGCTGAACTACTTCCTGGCTAAAATGCTGTTTGCATCTGTGAGCAAGTATATGTGCGTGTCTTCTCTTTACGTTCCCAAGCTATTCTATTCCAAATCTTCACAAAGTCACTCTCTGCTGTATTTAGATACAGTCTGTTAAAAAAAAAAAAAAATCTCAAGCACACCTATCTCTAAGCAGCAGCAGCAGCTTCGTTATTAGCTATTGTGCTTTTGCACAGATAATGCGTGTCCTCTGGAAGTTTCTCCTCCAGTGTCAAATGTTGCATTTCTCCTCCCCTTCCTTTTCCGAGTATTCCTCTGCAGAACGTTAAGATAACAAATGCTTTTGGAGGTAGCAGGAAGGTCAAAAGTGCTTTGCAAAGGCAAACATGAAATGCTGGCGGTTGCTCAGTGAAGCAGAAAGCTCTGTAACCAACACAAACACTTGCCTTTGTGTGCTCCCATTGTACTCTGTAGGAAGGTGTATCAAACCAACACCAGATCTTTGTCCAGAAGTAACCGTGGGTCTGTAGGGGTGCTGGCTCCTGCGGGGATATGGGGAAGGGCTGTCAAGGCGTTGGCAGCCCTTCGTGGTGGGGCTGGGTCTTTGACTCAGAAGCCCACTTGGGGCAGCGGCATCCAGGAGCTTTGCCAGCGGGAGGGACTCGCCATAGGGTCATCCAAAGCAAATTGTGCCTGTATTTTGCTCTTTGTGTATTTCTTGGTAAATACGGTATCGTTAATGCAAGGGGGTCAGATTTCTTTCTCCCTCTAATTTCAGGGAAGTATGGCTGCAGGCACCTAGCTCGGGATCTGTGGTGTGCCAACAGCATGGGCCGGAGGACGTGGGACAGCCAGCGTGGCTGGAAGGCAGTCGGGCTGCAGGGGCTCACCAGGTCAGTAGGTCAGGCGTAGCACCAGCCACTGGTAGCATAACGTGGGGACAAAAAGGGGGCTCGACGCAAAGTCAGAAAGGTGTGTCAGTGTCTGGAAAGAGCTGTGGGCTGAAGTCACTGAAAAGGTTAAGGTAGCCCATCACCTGTACCAGCATGGCATCGTGGTTAGCCAGTATTCAAGGAAGACACTGAAAGAACAACTATTGTGATGACGGACTGATGTGGTGAACAGAGGTGTGAGAATGTATTTTGTGGGTGCTTCTTTGTTTTTTCCATTTGGCGAAAGCAGGGAAAGGGCCCTTAATTTGTTTTTAAACACATCACTGTGCAAGTACCCAGGAGGGAAGATCCATTTAAGCTTCAAAACAAAGATGACAAGAAAAAAATGTGGATGTTAACCGCCATGAATAATGTGAATTTTTGGTACTAGCTGAAGGCCTCTGGCATACTAGAGACGAGTTATCTGCAGTGCTTCCCTATAATTTGTGATGGAGGCAAAAGGTCAGAGTAAATTTTAACACTGTGTAAAATAGGTACAGTACCAGAATTACAAAGGAAAATGCAAAAACCTCGTTGGTTTTACAGCACTTTTATTTTCCTGGATGGTGGTGTTTAAAAAACACCACCCCTCTACCCCCAGACAGGCAGCTGTAGACACATGGTTTTGTCTGAGATAAGCAGGAAGAGGTCTAACACAATTTAAAACCAAAAGCAAAACCAACAATGAAAAACAGTGTTCAAATGCCAAGTTCAAAACTTATAAAAATCCAGGTTTAATTTCTGGAAGAGTGAGTGGAAATCCCTGCCCTAATGAAAAAACAAAACAAAACAAAAAATCCCAAACAAAATCCACCGCTGAATGTTTACACTAGCAGAACACAGTTCCTCCAAATTGCAGAGCTTCTTGGCTATGACAGGTAAGTATGTTGCTTCAACTGCTTAAAGAACAGCACCAAGCTTGTAACAAGTTGGGAAGGTGGAGGGGGAAAGCAACTGTATACCCATTCCACGGTACCTTGATTTTTTTTTTCCTGGACTGGCATCAAAGTATTGTTCAGCTCTGAATGAGAAGTATATTGGAGGGAAATAATTTTATCTCCAAGTTAACCCTGCAGGCAACAGCAGGTGCATAGCATGAGGGGACTGTTGTGAGGAGAAACTTCAACAGCGTTAAGTGGCTGCTTAGTGGAAAGGTCTGTGTGCATTGTGTGTTGACTGTCATGCTGTAGTGGCCAAATATTTGTCAAACAGATTTTCCAGCTTCATCAGAGCTTATTTCCTCCCAAATGTTGTCATGCTACTAACCACTTTTTCAAGAAATGTATAAATGGAAATAAAAGTACTTGAGAGAAAAATGAAGGAAAGCACAGACTTTTATGTACACCAGAATGTGGTCTTTGGCAATACCTGCATTACTGTTGTGCTTTATTTAAGCATTAGTTGGAAGGAGCCTTAAAGAATTTATTTGCTTAGTGCTGACATGATGCTTTTTTTCCCCCCTGCCTCTTCCACATGCATACCACCACACAGTGGATCCAGATAAATGAAAGATTTGACAGGTCACTGGAAAAGGTGCTGTGCTGACCGTATCTGTCAGAGTGAGGGGCTGGGATGTTCCTCTCTCCTTCCTGCTTGGGGGCAAGACCTGGGGCAGAAAGCCAAGGCTGTGTAAGCACAGGTGGTGAAGCTGATGAGGCTGAGGTTGGTGGTGGGGTAATGACCAGGCTGAAGGTCTGGTGCTGCAGTGCATACCTCCTCTCCCAGGTGACAAGGGATGAAGACCCAGTTGCTCAAGGCCAGGCAGAGCTCTGACACCCGCACGTTCATCACTTCTTGCGTCTTTATCTGGAGAGAGCGCTCTCCGCAGCTGGCCTGCCACAATGTGGGGACCAGTCGTCTTGTTTTTCCTGTACGCTGGGTAGGATGGGGAGAGTGCCCTCTCACTCCTTCCCATGCCTCTCAGCCCAGTCATGAGCTGCTGTGCTCTCAGGGGCCCTCAGATCTTGGGACATCCGTACAAGGAAGCCACCCACTGCAGAGTAGGTGACTCTTGTATCTGCTGTCTTCAGGCCTTGCTCAAGAAATCATTGGTAATGCAGGGGGACACACACCAAAAAGCTGCCTTCAAGAGTTTGAGCTGCTCAGTGCTGATTTATATATGCCAAGGTAAGTCAGAAGGTACTTCAGAAAACGGGAGGTTAAACACGTAGGGAGCAACCATGAGAGGCTATCAGGTGAGTGTGTTGGGTGCAGGGTGGATGAAGTCACGTCGAAGAAGTCCTGTCATATACAAGAGGCATCATGTGCACAGGAAGGGGAGAAACAAATCTGCTGTCAAACTGAATGTGAGTAAAATTCTCAGAAGAGGATTCGTCGTTACCTGCATGCAGCCTGTGTGGAGCTGCACAGCTTCCCTTCTTGCACACCACCTCTCCCAGTCCAGTTCTCTCTCAGACTGCCTTCTCCCATCTGTCTTAAAAAGCATCTTGTTATTAAGTAGTAAAGGCCCTTTTTAATCAACAGTGCAACTTCCTCTGCTAAGTAACATCAATACATTTTAAAAGTACTTGTTGCATGTCAAATTATGTTGCAAAGTTTGTTGGGTATCATTCTGCCACTACCTTGGTGTCATGGTTTGAGCCCAAAGGGCAACTGGGCACCACACAGCCATTCACTCACCCTTTTCACCCTCAGGAATGGGAAGGAGAAAATGAAGTAAAAAGCTCAGGAATCCAGGTAAGGACAGGGAAGAGTGGCTCACCCATCACTGGTCAGGAGCAAAAGACGGACTTACTAGGAGGAGAAAAAAAAACCCAAACACTTTAATTCAAACACTGACAAAGACAACACCTAACAGACAAGGTGGGACAGTGAGAAGCGCCACCACATCCAAAACCACCTCCCCCCACCCCTCCCTTCTTCCCGGGCTCAGCTCTGCTCCCCATCTCTCCCCCTCCTCCCCCAGCGGCGCAGGGGCAGGGGATGGGGGTTACAGCCAGCTCGCCGCTCCTTCCTGCTCAGGAGGGGGGGTGAACGCTGCCCACCCCTCCCCTGCTCCCCGGGGCTCCCCTCTCCCTGCAGACAGCCCTCCATGAACCTTCTCCACAGTGAGGCCTCCCCACGGGCCGCAGCCGTTCCCGAGCTGCTCCGGCGTGGGTCCCCCCCGCGTGTTGCAGCCCTCCCAGCGCTGAACCACAACAGCGGGGGCTGCTTCTCCCCTCAGAGTCCCGGCCTCCTTTAAGCACAGACGCCTGTCCTGGCGTGGGCTCCTCCACAGGCTTCAGGTCGGCCTCTGCTCCACCGTGGACCTCCATGGGTGGCAGGGGGGCGACCCTGCTGTCTCACCACGGGATACAGGGGTCTCTGCTCCAGCACACCTCCCCCCCTTCCTTCTCCTTCCTTCCACTGACCTGGGTGTTTGCATAGGTGCCCTTGTAAATCTTCCTCACAAGTCCCAACCCTGCTCCCAGGTTCCCCTTCTTAAATACATTATCACAGAGATGCAGCCACCGTCACTAATTGGCTCAGTCTTGGCCAGAGGCGAGTCCAACTTAGAGCCGGGGGAGCTTTTGAGAAGCTTCTTCCAGGGACCACCGCCATAGCCCCCTCCCCTGCTACCGAAAAACCCTGCCACTCAAACCCAGCACACTCAGTTAATGTTGGATTAACTTGGTGATGCATCATGCGTGGCTGTTCACTCAGCTCCTGCTCGGGTGCTGGGCTCACGTACGCCAGGAGCAGCGCTGTCCGGTTAAAGCGAGGGCATCATGTATGTTGGACACGGGACAGGAGAAGGTAAGGTCCATCAGCCCCTGCAGCATGGTGGCAGCAGCTGGCAGGTTGGGATAAAGTTCTTGGGAGGTATCGTGGAAGAGTGTTCTGGATCACTTAGAGAATCTCTGTCAAAGGTATTAGCAAAAGCGATTTTTAATGGGAATTTATAAAAGTGCAGCTTAGCAAAGTTCAACGGCAAGGTTCACGCTATTGCTATGTGAAAGAAACATACAAAGGAAAATCAAGTTAGAATCTATTTAAACTGATTTATACAGAGACCAAAAACGTAAAAAGTTAAGGGAGACCCTCACATTGATTCACCGGTTCAGACTGGAGCCCCTTTGCTTTCTAAACTTCTCAGCGAGGAGTCTAGGTGCAGCTAGCTTCAATCTTGGACTTGGTCAATAGTTTATGTCTAATGGGGTTAATGTAAAGGGTAAGGAAAATACCTTATTACACTGATTTGTCAGGGAATGAGCGATTATGGATCCTACATAACTCTGAGGTAGCAGCAGTTTAAGGTTTATTAATACTATTATGGTAAAACACAAGATTAGATTGAATGTTTTTAACAATACTTAATCATCAGCTAATTATAAGACTTTTAATAAAATTTGTTGTAATCAACACTATAAAGTTTCCTAAATCGAATGCGCACACACACACACACAGAGGTTAACCTATGATAGTAAATTATTGGTACCAAATGATCTTTGAAACCTTGCAAAATCTAATTGTAGTGAATTACTAATTTGCTTTGTCAACATTTGTCAGCAGATCTTTGAGCCCTTTTTTCTTCATCAGCATCTATCAGTGGACAGTCTTGGAAGTCTTCACGAAATCTGTTCTTCAAAATCCTTGCAAAATCTGGTCTGAGAGGCGTCCCATCTCAGAGGGAGATACTGGGTCGCAGCCCCCCGCGATCCAGAACTCAAAGGGTGTCACTTCGAGCCACTATTTATAGATTTGCAAGATGATTGACTTTGGACAGTAATTCTTCATTTTGGACGTAATTCTTGTTGGGTAATTCTGGTACCTTCCAGAGCAGGCTACGATCCAGGCTGCAGGAGTGCCAGGCACGGTTAGGGAGCACCTCATCATCCCCAGTCACTGTCAGGCAGCAGGAGTTTTGGGTACGGTTAGAGGGAGTGCCTCGTCATCTCAACTGGCTGCACCTGTACAAATGGCAAGAAAGTCCCAGTTGGCACTTGTAACCGTGCCAACAGCACGGCGTTGTCTGGCCCTGATGTTGCTACGTGGCCCATGGGCACCACCGCCGCCGGAGGCCACCGGAACGGCGCAGAGCACACGTGCAAGCTGGAAGGTGGGCACAGGTCAGCTTATCCCAAAAAGCCTCCGGAGCTGGCCCAAGAGTCGCCAGGCTGCTGAGGTTGTCCCGCTTCTCAGCGCCATGTGGGGATGGGGACGGGAGGACCTGCCCTCACACCCTCGGGTAGCTCCTCTGCTTGCGCGCAGATGCAAGTTGGTGAATTTGTGCGTTAGGAAACTAACGAAGCAGCAGATTACAAAATTAACAAATCGGAGCAGTCTGTTACAAGGGGGTTGATTCGATTGTTGATTTTTACTTTAGTTGTTTCTTACCTTCCGAAACCACTCGTGCTGCTGCTTCCCTGTGGTGATATGTGGTGGTGGGGAGCTGCTGCGAAGCAGGGGACGCCCTCAGCCCTGGCTGCGACCTCCCTGCTGGGCGCTGGGCCCCGCGTCTGGGCGTCTTGCTGCCCGCGGGGTTTGGGCAGCTCGCCCAGGTGGCAAGGCACCCCACCACCACCCCCCCCCCAGCCAAAATCCCAGCGCCGTTTTCTGCCTGATCAGCCAGGCGTGCCGTGTCCCTGCTGTGGGAGGGACAAGGGATGCGCAGGGAGCAGGCCTCTCCTTGCGCCGGCTGCAGTCGCTTCGGTTTCGGTGGGATGTGCACCCGACCCTTCGCTGCATTTCTAAGGGCTGCAAAAATTTCCCCTAGCACTTGCTCAGCTCCTTTCTCCTCCAGCTTTTATAGTTGCATGGATTTTTCCTCTTGTCCGAGTCGTTCCAAGTTGTGGGAAGGAGGCGAGGTTGAGGGGAGAGGTGCTCTTCCATTGAACCAGCTGAGACATCTGGGAAAAACAAACAAACAAACAAACAAACAAACAAAAAAATTTCAGATGCAGAAGCCCTTCTCCGTGTCTGAAACAACACCCTGTTGAAACCCTGAGGTGGTTACTCTGCCTCTTGAAAGAGCTTTGGAGAGAGGCCCCCAGGCACCCTTCTCCGCCAGGCAGCCCCCCCGACCTGCACACCAGTGGGTTTGCAACAGACCTTCTCTAAACAAACCCACTTCTCGCCACCCGAGACGCCAGGGTTTGTGTAACAAGGAGCATGAGGCAGCGTACTGGTGAAAGGTGGCTTTGCTCATTTGTGGTAGTGTGTGAAGCTGCACGATGGAGTTGTTCCAAGGCACGGAGAACAGGTGGGAACATTCGCGTGTAGACGGCGTTGGTGTAAAATGGAATGAACTAGTTCCTGGTTGCCACTTCCCTGTAAAATACAGCGGTAGACTGTGTAATTTATACTTTGTTATTTTCAGAGGAAGCAAAAATGTGTTCAGGGAGGTTTTTTTACTCTACACTCATCAAAATTGCATTTACTGTAATACATGTTAAATTGGTGAGTACTAATTTCAGCCGAATTTTTTCCATTGTCCCACTGGAAATAATCTTTTATTCTTACCCCATGGAAAAAGGCATTCCAGGTTTGGCTTTATTAGCGTGGCTCCTTTTTCCCCAGCTATCGGCACGTTCTGCTCTTTGCTCGTTCAGCTGCAGCTGAGAGGAGTGCCTGGCAGCCCACGGCCCATCTTCGCACAGTGACACTTCACGGACCCGGAGAAGCCGCCCGCGAAGGGGCTGGTGGCCGGTAGCCATCGGCAAACCCCCGGCCAGGCCCCGTGGCGAGCTCCAGCCCGGACCCGCAGCGGCTGCGACCGGAGGCAACGGGCACCGCCGGCCAGCGCTGGGCGAGAGCGATGCTCCTGCTGCGAGCGTCCCACGGTCGTGTTGGGATTTCACTGGTGAGATTTTTTCAGGGGTTTTTTGGTTTTGTTTTTGTTTTGGTTTTTTTTTTTTTTGCCTGACTGAAATTCCAGGTGAAGGGAATGAGCTGAGGGACGGGTTTGTGGCGGTGTTTTCTCAGGGTGACAACAGGCAGTTACGCTTTGCTGCACCGGGATTGCAGGTAGGAGTGGGCTGCTTTTCTGTGGAAGAAAAGCACTTGCAGGGCCTGGCTGATCAGGCAGTCAGCGTTACCCCAGCTCTGAATAGAGGACAGACTGTTAAAAACCTTAAAACGTTGCTGATGAGGTTTTTTTTTAATGTTATCTCCCATACTGACTGTGCATTTCAACTTCCCATTTCCCTCCCTCCCCAGCAGACTCCTATTCTATCTGGCATTTTGCATGAACCTAGTCTAGCCAGCCAGTGGAATGTCAGGTATCTCCTCCCCTAGAGAGCATCAGCTGAACTACAGCTTTTTGCAGACCTCAATTCCCACTGCCCCTTGCAATATTTTTAGAAAAAAAAAAATCAAAAATAAATCTGTAGGATCCAGGCAGTGGTCAGCAAGGCGGCCCCATCAGGGAAAGCCACAGTTAAGCTTTGGAGCTGTTGGAAGCCAAGGGGAGCATTTCAGGTCATGGCTCACTGTTATCTCAGCAGCACTATTGATACAAGGCTCTGCTTAATGCATGATAGATCCCAGCCTGTTGACAAAGCTGATGAGTTGCAGTTTAACCCAAACTTCTCATTCCCCCATTCTTGTCCACGGCGAGAGAGAGAGAAGGGGATCTCGCCTTCAGCGCTTCACATGGAATGCTTTGACCTTGCGTGGCTCCTGGGCAAGTAGCTGCTCAGACCTACTCTGTGCTCTCTGCAAACTCTGAGTATCGTGTTGGGAACCGAAAACCGTTGTCCTGGTGTTGCAGCTTCTCTAGGAAATGTGGACGCGCATCCAAACCGGTCAGTGACTTGCATAGGGAATGAGCAGTTAAATATTTGGGGCATGTTAGTGAAGAAACAGTAAATATTAATATCTCATAGGGAAAAGTGAATGTGTGTATGGTAAGGACTCGGTTAATTTTACAATAGCTGGGCTACGTGGCTTGTAACAAGCACTTAGGGCATCAGCCTAATTTTTATGTAATGCCTCCACATGGGGTGTTTTTACTAATTCAGAAATGAAAACCCAAATGCATCCCTAGGAAGGAGCAGGGAGCACGCTTGCTGCAGATGGAGGAGAGCACTAAAAGTGAAGGCACCCTCGCGTCTTGCTGCCTCCTTACTTGGGGCTGAATGAAAGTTGGGGCTGGGGCTTCCCCCCATCACAGTGTTGCGGCACCGGGCGCTGATCCGCAGGGAGTCACCCCCGGCTGCAGATGGGTTCAGCTGTTGCTGGGTTTGACTGAGAGCATCCTGATTTACCCCCTGCCCCAGCTTGCTGGAGCAGGGGCTGTTCTGGGCACCGCAGGGACGTTTGGGCCACCCAGGAGCCCCTGCCAGGGCCCCCCCTCGCTGCCGTGCTGGCCACCCGCCGTCACCCCAGCCTGGTTGTGAAAGCAAGCAGGTATGCACAACCCCTTCATCTGAAGCCTTTGCCTTGAGGAAAGGGAAAAGCTCAGCATGAGGTGCCCTTCACTGAGTCTGAGCTGGGATGCAAGAAGTATGCTTTTTCTTTGGAAAATGTTTATCCCAACAAATGGACATCTTTCAGCGCTCTTCTCCCCCAACCAACAACTACATGTACTCAGAGTTAAGGGAATAAGACGATCTACATGCAGCCTTTTTTTTTTTTTTTTTTTTTTTTTTTTTTAAATGAATAGCAGTCTATGATTTCATTCTGGATTAAAAAAAAAAAAAAAAGAAAAAAAAGAAGTTGTGCTCTGCACTTGTGTTAAGCCTGCAGTCATAAGGAGAAGGCACAGCTCCTGACTTCCCCCTGCAGCTACCTCCCACAATTATACTCGCTCCCTGCTGGCTGCCTGTAAGAGTCTCCAAGAGTGATAAAGTTTAGTTTCATCTTCCCCTGAGCCACTCTCTGCAGACACCCAGCCGGCAAGGACGTCTGCACTGACAGAGGCTGCTCGCCAGAAGGTTGGTTCTCTTAAAGCATGGAAATAGTAAAATCCTGTTAACCTGGGAGGGTGAGATAATAGTGCAAGGGTAGGGTTTTGCTTGTTTGTTTGTTTTATGTTCAGAACATAATTTAAGGCAAAATATATGGGAAATCATACTTGGGGGAAGGGGGGGAGGCTTTTATAAAGCTCTGCACAAAAACTGCATTATGGAGAGGTTACTTCTTGGCTGCTTTCTCCTGCTACCAGAATTGTTGAACTGTGTTAAAGCAATCTAGCCGGTACTTTGCATTTAAACTGGGCTCTCTCTTGTCGGCATGGGTGCCCAAATTCCTCTTAGCAAGGCTGCTTAGCTGCCTGCGTTTTCTGGTAGGCTCTGAGGATGTGTTGGATTAGCTGCTGTCCTGCCAGAAGCTTGGACGTAGTTGCTTTTATATGTTGCTGCCCGGTCGCCCTGTGCACTTGCTGCCCTTTCCAACGGGGTGTGCTGGTGGTGACAAAAGCATCTGCACGTTGCAAATCCCACCATTACCGTTTGCTGCTAAGAAAGAAGAAAGCATGTGAATAATACTCGTATACAGAACACTGTGCATTTGCAAAAGTGTAAGAAGTACCACGATTTGCCACGGGTGGGAAGCGAGTGGGCAGGGGGAAGCACCCAGAGGCAATGCACACCCAGGGAAAGCCACGAGTGGGATTTCCCGAGGAGCTTCGTGGCGCCGAAAGGGTGGAGAGGGTGGGTGCCCTCACGCCCCGCTGCTCCCCCCCCCCCCAGCATGGCCCTGTTAATTTCCGTTACTGGATCAGTTAATTTCTGTTTCTGTTCTGGCTTCTGAGGTCAGGAGGTGGGTGGGGAGCAGCCTGACCACTCAGCAGCATAGTTCTGCCTTTGCCAAGGTGCTATTTCTAGAAAGAAAAAACAAAACCCCAACAATTTATATCAAAAAGCCTCAACAAATGTGAGCAGGTAGTTTATCTTTTTTTCTTTTTTTTTTTTTTTTTTTTTTTAACTCTTCTGATATTTGTGCATAACTAGAAGAACCTGGCCAACTAGAAGAACCTGCCTTCAGGGCAAAACTTGCTTTTAATTTTTATCTGAGAATGTTTTGTGCCGTCCTTTACACAAAAATTCTCCCTACACAAATAGACAAAATTGTTCTCCCTATTGCTGGGAGAATAGGAGCACAGATATTTTGGGGTTCGTTATACCTGAGGCTTACTGGTTTTCAGGATTTATTTGCTCACATAACTTCAGGCAGGAAAGGACTTGGGATACAGCATTGAGTTTCTGCCTTTCCGCCTCTCTGGGACAAGAAAATGTAGATACCAGTTTTTTACGGTATCTCTCTCGCGTGGAGCCCGGCTTCATGGTGAGGAAATTCCCGCGTGCTTTGTACCCATGCCAAAGTGATCCTGTGTGAAAGATGCCAAGCCCGACAACCAGAATGCCCGAGTCACCGGCTTTAGCCAAGGTTCACTGCCCGGCCCTGCTTGGCACGAGGGAAATTGGTGACCTGTGTCTAAGCACTAGCGAAGCCTTTCTGGGGTGGAGTGGGGACCGTCCCTGGCCTGATGCTGCTTAGAAGGCCGGATGAAATGGCAAAAAATGCAAAAGTCTTGAAAAGGCGTAAAACGCAGGGTTACGCTTGGTCACCCCCAGTAGCAGCAAGGGAGCTGGGCAGAAGGCTGCCTGCTGAAGAGCAACGGCAAGCAGCTGGGTGCAGGGATCAGACCGACCGCCGTTTTCCCGCTAACCGCCCCGTTCCCCTCGCGTCTCTTTCAGAGGAGCACGTCGGAATGGCCGCCCCGGCCGTGGTGACGATCCAGCCGCAGTACGGCATGGCCGTGCCCTCGGCCTCGCGGAACATGTGGCAGACCGGGCTGCTGGACTGCTGCACCGACTGCGGCGTCTGTGAGTGCCTCGGGCAGTCCTGCCGTGCAGCCGGCGGTCCCATGCCCTCTCAGGACGTTTTTCTTGCCCCTGCCGCTCGATTCAGCGCGGCAAGAGCTGCAAACATACAGCCCAGTCCTCCCAGTTCCCCCCCCCCCCCCCCCCCCCATGCTGGTGGTGCTGGGCGGGCAGGCAGGGCCTCACCAACCGCCGCGTTTCTCCCCTTGCCAGGCTTCTGCGGGATGTTCTGCTTCCCCTGCCTCGCCTGCCAAGTGGCCGGGGACATGAACGAGTGCTGCCTGTGCGGGACCAGCGTGGCCATGAGGACGCTCTACCGCACCAGATACAACATCCCGGTCAGTGGTTAACCCGACCCCCTCCCTCGCCGTGCTTCGAGGTTGAAAGATGAGGTGCCCCCCCCCCCCCCCCCCCCGAGGCCCATCTCTCTGAACACCAGGGCTGAGCATGGGGCAGCGGCGTTCTCCGCTCACCCTTTTTTTTTTTTTTTTTCATTTTCATATCCTGCATGATGCCGGGAGCACGGGACAGGGGTCGGGACGCCCTCAGCCGCGCTGGTCCTCGCGCTGGTGTCCAACAACGCATGATAACTGGACACGGCTCCTTCCCAGCATCTCGGGGGGGGGGGGGGGGCACGTGCCCTGCAGTCGGTTGCCGCTGACCACAGCGTCTTGCAGAGCCTCTGCTGCTGCTTCTCCATGCCACCCCCAATCTCTGAAAGATGGGAAAGACTTGAGATAATGGCGGGCAGACTAAAGAATAGATTAAGTCAGTTGCACAGATAAACATCCGTAGTCAGACGCAGGAGAAAGGTGGACATCTGCATACAGTACATCTGTGAAGTGGTTTCTTCCCCCTGGGGGTTAGTGCCCTCCCCAGGGCTGGCCCAAGTCCAGTTTGCCCAAATTGTCTCTTTCTGTGTGTTTTTTTTTTTTTCCCCCCAGTCTTAACCACAGAAGCTGGAAGGTAAGTACCTACCTGCAGCCTGTAGAAGCGGCTCCCTCCTGCCTTTCCACTGCGTGGGGGTTTGCCAGCCCTGGTTTTTAGTGTCTGCTACTCGGGATGCTGCAGCCAGCCAGGAAACAAAGGGCACGCTGTGTGGAACGTGATTAACCTTTTCTTGGCTGAAACGTGGCTTTTGGGAGGCCTGCATCCCTAACCAGTTTCTTCCCAACAGGGGTCCATTTGCTCTGACTTCTGTACCACTCTGTGCTGTCCTGTGTGCTCCATTTGCCAACTTAAGAGAGACATCAACCGGAGGAGGGATCTGGGCATATTTTGGTAAGCTGGGTGTGCTGGTGCTGGTTTCTAAAGCCGCCGCTGCGTTCAGCCGAGCAGCTTCCCCAACGCCTGATGTAAGGCACGGAGTTGCTGCAGTTGGGAAATGGCCCTGGACGGGTGACGAGAATGACCTGCCCTGCAGCAAAACGTTGCTGGGAGCCTCGTGCAGGGTGGGGGGGAAGGACTGGGGGGGCAGGCACGGCCCCGCTCCCTGACCCTGCCCCTGCCATCCCATCCCATTGCAGATGCCGCCGTCCCCACCGCGCCCTGCGGAGCCGCTGCGGGCCGGAGTCGCCGCTGCCCCGGCTGTTGGGAAAGGCACCGCCGGGGTTTGCCTTGCTTACGGTTGGTTCCCCCTTCCCTGAGTAATGCCATGAATAAACAGCAGAATTTGCCATCCTGCGTGTGCGCGTGTGTCACTCTTGCGCTGCCTGAGAGTTCCCATCCTTCTCCCACTCTGACTCAGCAGCCCCTGGTACAGCTGAGATTTCCGTGTGCCCACTACAGAGAAAAATTCACACTAGCTTTTTGTTACTTGCTTGCTTTTAGAAAGGATGTTTAATACATAGGAGGAGTAGATGTTGCTCATCCAAGATGTAAAATTTGGAAAAGTGACTTCTGCTCCAGGGCAGAGGTGGGGCCTCACCTTCTGAACATAAAGCCACAGGGATTTTTGGGCTGCCTGGCACCAGCCCACCTCCTGCGTTGCAGAGTCATGCTCCCTTACGGACCCTGAGAACGAATTCCCACCCACCTGTGATTAAAAACCTGGTTGGGTCGTGGGTTGGCCAAGTCCCCTCCGTGGGCCAACCCTGCCGCCTCCCGGCCACGGCCAGGCGGAGCACACCTGCCTGCGCCGGGCTGTGGGCCATGCGCTCTCCCTCCAAAAGGTGGACAAGGTTACATCCATCCTCTCTCCATCGTTCTCGGAGAGATGCTAAAAGATTTTTGATCCGTACCAATCTCCCACAGCTTCGCTCTCTAAGGGAAAGATGGTATCACTGCCTTCACCTTCACAGCAAACCTTGTGAAGGGGCAGGTAGAGGTTCTGTCAGTGCTGTGGGGTGGGTCTGCCCCGCAGCACTCCCACCTGCTTGAACCCTAGATGGCCCAGACAGTCCTGTGGATGATCCCTGGAAATACAGAAGACTGTATTTTTAACGTAAGAGAGGTAAAGGCCAGGAATGTGGAGAAGAGGAGAGAATCCCATCCCAGCATGGTACGATTTCGCATCTGCACCTCGAGGCAGCGCCGGTGTCATCCAGCGGAGTTAACGTTCAGCTCTTGCCAAAGCTCAGGCTTAGCGAAGGGAAGGCACCCCACCCCCAGGGGTGCAAGGCTCAAGGCAGCACAGGAGCCCTAAAATCACCACCAAAAGCCGTGCGTCCCGTGGGGGCTCCGTGATGCTGGGGTGGGGAAAGGTGAGTGGTGGCAGCAGGAGCCTGCAGCTCGCAGCAAGGAAAGCGGCAATTGCGCAAAGAAAGCAGCACCTGAGCCGGCATCGGTTAGTCAGGGTGCAGAGGTCATTCTCTAGGGAGCACCCAGAGCATGTAAAGGATAAGAACCAGGAAAAGGACATGCATTTCCCAGCACAAGGGCGGCTTGGCAGGTACAGATGGCTTGGCTTTGCTTGGGCAGGAGCTGCGGTATAAAAGTATGGAAGCTGCTCTATGGAGGTGGTGGTGTTGGGGAAGGGGTGGAAACAAAAGTGAGGTTTTCTGCCTGGAAGAACTGCTCCAGAGCTAAACCAGAATGTGCTGGGTGCTGCTGACAGGCATCTCCACAGAACCGGGCAGCAGCGTTAAAGGACGGCAGCTTTTGCACTGTATTGGTCGGTTGTGCACATAGACCTGTGCCTATAGGTAACAAAATGCTAATTTGTAACTTTGGTTATCAGTGAAATGGGGCTGCGTGCAGCTCAGGATCCATTTTGTTCCCGTCAGCCATTCCAACACTGCTGGTGGTGCCCTGGAGCTGCAGATTTGGGGGTACTCGGGGTGGTGTACTGCGTGTGCTGGGCCTGGGCCACCTTTTGGGAGATGAGTGTAGAGTGGAAGCTTCTCCAGGCTGCTGCCCGCTCCACACCACAGCCTCTGCCTGTGCAGGGAGGTGCTGTGCTCGTACGTGGGGAATGGAAAGTTCACGGTCAGCCCTGCCTGCAAACGGCACAGTGTGTGTGTGTGTGGCGGTGAGCGCCCCTCGGCTGCATTTTCACTGTGTGCTGCTATTAGTCGTGTTTTCTGGGCAGCACCTCCTTTGGCACGGGAGGCTGGTGAGGTCCTGCCTCTAAAACTTCTCCTCCTGCTGCTCCCACGCACGCTGCTCCCTGTGGTCCTTGCTGCCCTGCCTGCTGCTGAGCATCCCTGTCCCTGCACTCCCTGCCTGGCATCTCCACTGCATGGCCCGTCCGTGGTCTGTCCCCTCCCCTGCCCCTCCCGGCTCTTGCTTTGTCTTAAATCATCCCGTGCCAAGGCTCCCCACAGGGGCTGCCACTTTGTCATGTCGTGAAGCATTACTTCGGCTGCAGAGGTGGCAGGAATTACCAGGGGCCTCGTGCGTGAATGAGGAGGGACAGTCAGCCAGGACACAGGGGCAGGAGGCGTCTGGCGAGGGATGATGGGTGCTGTGGCCCCCGCTGCACCCATGGGTGGTAGGGTTGCCTTCACTCGCTCCTGCTGACAGCTGGGTGATACACCCCAGAGAGGCCACAGCAGCATTTTTACTGCTCAGTGGCCCTATTCAGTAGCAGCAGGAAAATACCCTTGTTTCGTAACACTCAGCAGGGGCCGGGGACTAGAGCAATCCCACCAATCAGTTTGTCCTTCCAGGCCACTTGTCACTTACTGGGAGCAGATGCCGGTGTCTCGGGTAGGGTCAGCCCAGCCAGGCTTCCACTGCCTGCAGAAAGCTGCAAAAGTCACGAGCAAATCACATGGAGACTTTTTACAAGTTTTCTTCCCTTTTACAACATAATTCAACATCCCTTTGCCTGTCCGTCTACTACCAGGGGACAAGGGTCAGCCGTACAGCAGCCGGCTGTGTCTGACAGCAGAGATGTGTCCAGGCCAGTCTGTAAATGATGGGGAGCTGTTGGCAGAGCCACCGACCCTTTTGCTGCCTGTTGACAACAGTCAGTACAAATGTAGTGCCACAACCTGTACCTCCCCAGTGTCGGATGAGGGTAACGTGCTCGATGGCATCATCTGAGTGCTGGACATAGTATATTTATTCCTCTGTATTCCTTGTGGTTAATACTTCAGTTCTGTGTCTGTGTGTAATTCTGACATGAATACAGTCCCATTCACTTTATAGAGTTTTAACAGAATTGATGGGTATTAATCCCATGCTTCAAAAAGTAAAGGCTTCCCCTGTTTTTCTTTCTGCTCCTCCCAGCGTCCTGAAACTCAGGTGCTCCCTTGTCACACAAGGGCAGGGAGCCCCAGGGCAGGGAGGGGAGCTGCTCAGCGGGCACCCCGGCTCTCACCCCGACAGGCAGGACAACCCTGTGAAAGCTGAGCAGGGACAGCCGGGACACAAACTGTCCGAAGGCTCTCTGTTAAATACCCACAACGCCCGCCGTGGAAATGCCCACGGGCTGCGTGGGGACGCGGCGGCTGGAGAGGACATCCCTGGGGAGCTGCCCCGGGACCCTTCCCGGGCAGAGGAGCAGCAGCCCGCCGTGACGGGGCCCAGCGCTCAGGCTGCCTTCCCGCTGATGATTTCTTTGCTGAGGATGTGCGCTGGGAGCAGGAGGAAGCCCTTGTAGCTGTAAGAGCACGGGAGCCTTTGCATCTCATCCCGGTGCTGCTTAACAGGGCAGTGCCGAGCTTGGGCACAGGGCAGGGAGTGTGTCTGTATGGGCCATCCTATGGGATCATCCCCTATTTTTTTTTTTTTTTTTAAATTAAAGCTCCAAAGCTGAAGGGAGGATGGCAGAGGATGGTGCCGTGCGTCGCAGGGGGTGGCAGGAAGGGAAAAGGCCACGGGTGGAGGTGGAGGTGCAGGTGGAATTGTTACATGGGTTCGGTGGGTTTGGGGGTGGTGCTGTGGAGGGGGAGCTCTGCTGCTCTCAGAGGCTGCAGCACCTTGCTAGGGAAGGGTGGGCAGGAGTGGGGCTCCAGGAGCTGCGGTGGCCCCAGGGAACCGAGGCAGGGGAGGACAAGGCACTGGCACAGACAGGCAAGTGGAGGAGGGATGAGAACTGGTGACTGGGCTTAGGGTGATAGAAAGGGACAAGCAAAACCCCGCTGCCTTGGAGCGTGCTAAGAAAGCAGGTGGAAAAGGAAGGGAGAGGGAGAGGGGGAGGCAAACAGGCTGAAACGCTCAGGGACAAAGCAAAGACTAAGGCAACTACTGAGAGCCTGGGAAAGCTAGAATTGAGCTGTAGCAGCTTTGGGACACTGCAAACATTAAAAAAACAAACCAAACCAAACCAAAAAAAAAAAAAACAAACCCAAAACATTTTAAGCAGATAATGATGAAAGATGAACTGGAGATGAAAAGAGGATTAAAGTGTTGAAGCACTAAGGCTCTGAAGCAAACAGACCTCTGTTTTTACAGAGGTGTTTTCCTTGCATAGTCAAGGGGATGAGGTACCGCTGCCTTTGGTGGGGGGCTGGTTTGGGGAGAGCTTTGTTGCAAAAGACAGTGGCAGCTCCTGGCAGAGCTGTGCCCCCCACTTTGCGTGCAGTGCGGAGCCCTCAAGAACCTGTGCTGCCCTCTCCATCTTCAGCTGCAGCAGCCTGAGCAAGACACCCTGCAGAAACACCTGCAGGATCTTTCTCTGATGGCTTTTCCTTCCAGACTGCCTGGAGGGACCCGACCCCGTGCCGGTAATGGCCTCTCGCCACGTGATCACAGTCCAGCCCCAGTTTTTGGCTGTCCCACGGGCAGGCGAGTGGCAGACGGGGCTGCTGGACTGCTGCTCTGACTTCGGCGTGTGTGAGTCCCTGTGTACCACTTGTTCCTGATGTTGGCTCGCAATGTGCTTCTGGTGTTTTCCCTGCTCCTTCTGTGGCATCGCTCCTGCTGCAAACCCCGCTTTTGCGGGTACCAGCCGTGGAGCAGCTCTCACCTGAGGTCAAGAGCCACGGCTCCCACGGCCGCATCCCTGGCCGTTTTTTCCCCCTTTCCTCTTTGCACTCCTCGGCCAAGCGCACGTCTCGCTGTCGCACAGGTATTTGTGGAGCCTTCTGCTTCAGCTGCCTGGGGTGCCAAGTGGCCAGGGACATGGACGAGTGCTGCCTGTGTGGCCCCAGCGTGGCCATGAGGACGCTCTACCGCACCAGATACAACATCCCGGTCAGTGACCAACCGCGGGGCCAGTGACAGCCGCAAGCCGGGCGCTGGGGGTGTGGGTCGGGGAAGGAGAAAGGGGTGCCCGAGGGGAAGAGCAGCGGTGGGGAGTTGTACGGGCAGCTCTGCAAGCAGGGAGCCAGGGATACATCTGCATCCCTGCTGTGAGCCAGAGGTAATCCCACCTCACCCCAGTCCTCGCTGGGCACGAGCGGCAACGCGCTGTGGGGCCAGGGGTGAGCTGCCCAGGGGTGTTGAGGATGAAGAGGAGGACCTAAAAGCTGACGTGGGAAGGGGTTATCCATCCTTGCTTTGCAGGGCTCCATTCTGAGTGACTGCACTTCCACCATGTGCTGTCCCCTGTGTGCGCTCTGCCAGCTGAAGAGAGACATCAACCGGAGGAAGGAGCTGGGCATCTTCTGGTAAACTGGGAGTGCTGGTGCTGGTTTATAAAGTCACTGCTGCACGGAGCCGAGTGGGTTCTCAGAGTCTCCCTTTTCCACCCACACCTCACAGGGTTGCTGTGGTGCCAAAACAGCAATGCCCAGGGGAAAGGGTGACCTGTCCCACAGCAAAACGTTGCTGGCTCCCTAACCCACTTCTCCTGTCCCGTTGCAGATGCCACTGTCCTCGCAGGAGTTGCCACTGCCCCAACTACTGGGAAACGCACCACGAGGGGGTTGTCCTGAATGTGGTTGATTCCCCCTTCCATGTCACACCAGCAATAAACAGTAGAGTTTGTCTTCCTGCCTGCGTGTTGCTATTTATTTTTCTGCACCCTCCTGCAGCACCAGAGAACAGCATTGTGCACTGTGCAGTCAGAGCAATGCTGAGGTTATCAGATAGATGAAGAACTTTATCTTGCAGACCACACTCGAATGAGATCAGACCACAAAATTCAGCGAGAAGATAAAAAAAAACAAAAGAAAAGCTGAGACTGCTGTGGGCAGCTCAGTTCCTTGGTGGACACTAGCAGCGTGCGGAGCTGGTGACAGCATCGCCCCGTGTTTGGAGAGGCCCATCCCTGTTTCTGCCTGGACAGTCTCCAACACCGAGACACTTGAGGTGGCAGCGAGAGCAGGATGGTGACGGTGTGGGGATTGCAGTCCCACTCAGCTTCCTCCACGCAAATCTTGTTAGGAGCCTGAGGTCTGGGAGTTGCTTTTCTGTAGGGTGAGACCCCCCACTGCCTTCCCCGCAGCCGTGGGTGTTGGGTGTCATACGCTGTGGTGGAAGAGCTGGGACAACCTGCGCCTTGCTGGGGCTTGGGAATGCAGGGTTTGATCCATTACCTGTCATGGCAAAGAACAGGGAAGAGGTAACTCCAGGGCTGGGGTGGTTGTGCAGCTGCCAAGCACTGGCTCACATTGGTTTAGCTTTGGTGCTTTTAACAGAAAAAGGTGCTTTTTGCCTGGAGCGGGTGGTGGGCTGGGGCTGCACAGGGCCCCCAGGCTCTGGCACATCTGTGCTTCTGTCCTGGCACCTTCAGAACAGGCGTGGGTTTTATTTAAAAATACCTTTCCCACCCGGCCATTTCCCCCCACTGCAACTCCCGTGACATTTTTCTGCAGCGGCCGCAGCACGGTCGCATCCCTCGTGCGAAGAGGTGAGGCTGTGTCCCTGCTGACAGCACGTACGCGTGTGTTTGCACACTCAAACCACGTGCACAGAGCAGCAGAAGGCGGCAGTCGCGGCACAGTGACGGCCCGAGCCGGGAGCCAACGAGCGTGCGTGCCTGCTGCAGGGACAGTTGTCACCGTGCTGGTCCCTGCATGGCCCGCAGGTGTGCTGGGCCACCTCTGCTTGCTCCCGGTGCTTTATCCCAAATCCCCATCACCCGCAGCCTGCCGGACACAGAGCGGGGCTGGGTCTGAGCCTTCCCCCCACAGCTGCGTGATTTGGGGTGGCCAATTTGGTGACAACCCTGCTGCTCTGGGAGCTCACGGATGAGCTGAGAGTGCCCGGGATCAAGGTCTTCAAGGCCACCCAACCATGAGTGCTGGGATTCCCCTTTCCGATGACAGGTGAGCCCTGTGTCCCCAGCATGGGGATCCTGCAGACTCCCCTCCCACCGTGATGGTTGTCACGGGGTCCCTGACAGTCATTCCTGCTTGGGGTCCTCCTACCCCTTAGCCCATCCTGGGAGGGGCTGCAGGGACCCTGTGGCTTTGCCCATCCCTGATCATGGGGTTCATCCTCTCCAGGGCTGTTTTTCCCCCAGCACACGCAGGGGTTGGGCCATGGGGACTGGGGACCAGAGCTCTGACCTCCCACAGGGACACCGGTCCTTGCAGGCGATGCCGTGGTGGTGCAGCAAGGAGTCGGGAGCAGCCGGGCCCGAGCCCGGGTGAGGGGCACCAGCGCCCACATTGACGCAGAAACCGCAGGCGATGCCCGCTGAGCGCCCAAAGCAGCAGCTGACCGTGCCATCGGGACTGAGCTGGGGGCTGGGGGGGGGCCCCTCGCTGCTGGCCGGGGCACAGGGGTCTCGCAGTCCTGCTGCAGGAGAGGTGCTGTGCCACAGGGGTGGGAGGCGGGTGGTGCCGCACCCACGGCAGAGCTTAGTGGGGTTGGGTGACCAAGGGCTGGGTCTGGCTTTTGCTCAGGAAAAATCTGGCTGTGCAGGTGTCACTGCCACAACCCGTGAGTGCGACATGACCCTCGGGTGTGTGAAGGTCACGGAAGCTTTGTTTCTGTGAATTTATTACAAGTTACTACAAATCATGACTAGTAAAGCAAGTATGTACTTACGATCATACCTACAGGCACACCTGTGTGTATTATCTGAGGTGTTACCAGCATGACACTTGCCAACCCATTGCCAGGAGCAGGGACAGCGCCTCATCACAGATGATCCACATCACGGAGCCTGGAATCAGCCAGGCTTACCCTGGCAAGGGTCCGCCTGTCTGGGAGGTCTCTGCAGAGCGGCTCTATCAAAGGAAGCTCATTTTGGGTAGGCATCGTGTTATTTTTAAACCTTTTTTGTGTAGACATGTTAAGTGGGTGTAAGACACCACTCGACAGAACAGCTGTCGCTCGATGGTCAGCTCGCTCTTGTCGTGGTTTCTGTGCTCGCTGTCATTGTGGTTTGTGTGGCCTGGCTTCCAAGGAGGTCTCCGCTCCCTGATGAGCTCATCGGGGATGCCCGGGGCTTCTGGCTCAGCACTTGTCCCTCTTGGCCAGTCCATTACTGGGTCACCCCTGCGGCTGCTCCTGCAGCTGGGCTGAGGGACTGCTGGAGCCGGGCTGGCTGCCCCCACTGCCTCTTGCCCCACTCTACAAACACGGGTGTGGGGCAGGGGACGACCAAGGGTGGCCAGTCCCCCCCCAACCAAAGCCCCTCCCAGGCAGTTTGTGCCTTGTATCTGGGGGGGCTGGGAGTTGTGAAGGCTGTTCAGGGAAGCTGGAGCAAGAGCTGCCGGGGGCTGACCCAGCGGCACCCGGTGGGAGCCCAGCCGCTCCCTCTTGTTTTGTGCTGTGCTGAAATGCACCTCACGTAGTGGAGGAATCTGAGCCAGATGCCCCTTCTTACCTGCCCTTTGGAGAGAAATGTGACTCCTCTGGCTGGAGCCATCTCTTGTGGGGTTTCTGGAGCTAGGCCATGCACCTGGGAGCTCTAATTGCTTTTTCTCCCTTTCACAGGGAGGGAGGAGACTGCTGCTTCGTGCTGCCACCTCACCCGCACCCTGCACCCCCTCACAGCCAGGCTGCCCCAGGAGAGCTGGGGGGAACCCCCACCTCACTTCTGCCCTCAGGAATGGGACTGGGAGAGACCCTCCACGCAGAGGGGCATGTGGCATGGATTCAATCCCTGAAGGAAGAGGCTGGGCTTCCCGCTCACAGAAGAACGACTCGCCTCCTCACCTCCCACAGCCCTGCCTGCGCCCACCTGGCTCCCAGCTGACAGACACCCTGCCTGGTTACCGCTCCAGCTGACAGACGCTCCAGCTACTGGATGCTCTGGATTAGAGATGCTCCAGGTATCTGAAGCTCCATGTTATTTCAGCTCCTGCTCCAAAGCACGGCTCTGGCTACTGCACAGTTGGGATGTGAGATGCTCTACCTCTGCCTGAGAGACACTCCAGCTCCATAAATACTGCAGCTCCAACAGACAGGTGCTTGGGCTTCTCTGAGTTTCAGGTAATTCCAGCTTCTGCTCCTGGACACTCCGGACACGAGGTGCTCCTGCTTGTTACCGCTCTGGATGATGGACACTTGTGCTTGAAATAATTTCAGCTCCAGACAGTGGATGTTCCAGCTCAGGTTATTTGAAGCCCTGAGTTACTTCAGTGCCAAGCTACTGCCCATGCTGGAAAATAGTTACTCCAGCTGCTTCCAGCTCTGGATTGTAGAAGCTCCTTGTTACAAGCTAATTAGATCTGTAATTAGGTGGAGCTTTGTCTTAGTAGCTGCTCCTTCTCATTAAAAGCTAATTGAAGCAGTATGGGCAAGGTTGTAAATGAATCGTCATAACTTGAATATTAACTGTCATAATTGTACATTGTCTAAATATTGTTTATTTAGTAACTATTCCAAGGGTTGTACAAACCTTTACTAAAGAGTTGTGAAAAAAACACCTTTCGCTTCAGAGGTTGAGGGAGGCATGCCAGCCTCCCTAACTTTGGGGACTGATGTAACCGGTGGGGTCTATGCCCCCTGCCCACCTTGCCCCCCCAAAGCCCTCCCATTCCACTCCCACCTGAGAAGAAGGCCAGAACTGTTTTTCTTGTTTAGAGCAGAGAACTTATTGGTCCGCATGTTCCATTCGTATTATTTTCTCCCTTTCACTCACATAGTTTAGTTAAATGTAATAAGATGTTTTGAAATGTGCAACTTTTCTCTGAGAAAATTGAAGCAGACCTTGAGACGGTTTGTTAAGTGTCCTGAGTACCCCTGATAACAGGGGCCCAAGATGCCAGTGTCAAGACAAGCACCTGTGAATTAATTAAAAACTGACCTTCTTGAAGCATTCCAGGGCCGAAAAACAGATGAGCTAACTACATGACCAAATGTGGACAAAGGAAGACTAAAGTTCAATCACCAGACACCTTGAGGAAGACTATGAACGACCACCAGAGGGGGAAAAGACCCTAACCCTAATTTTACCATGCATGCCCAGACTATGTAGATAAGTTCTAGGAAGTCTTATGTATATGTAGATTAGGTTCTAAGAAATTCACTGAATGTGTATGACCTCACAGCATACGTCCTCTGTTATTTTTCCTGTCTGTTGGAGCACTTGCGGAGCGATCCCCAGTGCTGCCCAGCGCTGCGAATAAAGAATACCTGCTTAGCAGTTATGACTCACGGAATAAAGACTCCACAACCTATACGGCTGTAAAGTAGGTATGTTTATTCGGTGCCGGGTGGGTGGGGGATTGCTCCACCACAAACATGCACACCCGTATGACCCGGGGCTACTT